GACACGTCTCACCTGTGTCCACTGACACGTCTCACCTGTGTCCACTGACACAAACCAACTGAGACAAAGTTCAACCCATTTCACTCATAAAACCTGAAGCTGAGTTGTTATGGATACAACCTGAACATCAGTACAACTCATGACCTGTGTGTGTGTCTGTGTGTGTGTGTCTGTGTGTGTCTCTGTGTGTGTGTTTCTCTGTGTGTGTGTGTGTGTCTCATTAGCTGCTCTCAGACACACACTGATCTAAATTCCATCATAACGTCACAATCATCTCTGACCTTTGACGTCACACCTGAGTCTGTGCAGACCAGGGTCAGAGGTCATGAGACCTACCAGCTGTTTCCTGAGCAGCAGGACATCTTCCTCCTCCTCCTCTTCCTCCTCCTCCTCCAGCGCCCTCCGGACCAGCTCCTCCTGCCGCTGCCGCAGAGCCTCCAGCTCCCTGAGGCCGGACACCGCCTCTCCGTCCCGGCTGCAGCGGCCGGACAGACGCATGTCCTCCGCCAGACCTCAGGACTTTCACTGCATCTGACCCGGATCAGTTGACCCGGGTTGATAAAGCGGGTTAAACAGCCGCCACCGGGATCCACAATCAACCGGTGGTCGGAGCAGCGGGTGGGTTCATCCGGAAGTCTGTCCACTCAGGTGGAAGTCCAGGTAAATCCCAGCATGCCCCGGGGCCGCGGAAAAGGTGGAGATCCGGAGACTGTCCGGATCAGCTCGGATCGGTTCGGATCAGTTCGGATCAGCTCGGATCGGTTCGGATCAGTTCGGATCAGCTCGGATCGGTTCGGATCAGTTCGGATCGGTTCGGATCAGTTCAGCTCGGATCAGTTCGGATCGGTTCGGATCGGATCGGATCAGCTCGGATCAGTTCGGTTCGGATCAGCTCGGATCGGTTCGGATCGGATCAGCTCGGATCGGATCAGTTCGGATCGGTTCGGATCAGTTCGGTTCGGATCAGCTCGGATCGGTTCGGATCAGCTCGGATCGGTTCGGATCAGCTGCTGCTTCAGATGAAGCTTCGACCACACTGACCCTCAGCCCATGAAACCCCGCCCCCTCCGCGCAGACTGGCCAATCAGCTGAGACGTGTCAGCAACAATGAGGACATGGACTTCCTGTTGTGACCGTCAGAATAAAACAGAATATAAAGCAGCGCTATATATGAATATAAAGAGAGGATTATATGAACATAGACATATATGTGCACATGCACACGCCCCTATCAGGTCAGTTCTTTAAACGAGATACTCGCACTTCGCCCTCATCATTTTATTTTCAGACACATTCAAGTGTTTCTGATGCTTTAATATCACAATTTGAAACATGGAGTCAAAGTTTGTCACATCTCTGCTGCTGCTTCGTGTGTTCAACAAAAACTGTGGAGAAAGTCCAGAACCAGTTCTCTGGAGGTTCTCCTGGAGGTCACGTCATTTATGTTAAAGCTACAAAACGAATCTTGGTTTTAACAATAACAAGATTTACTACTCATTCGACTGGAGCTGAAGTTACACTTCAAATACATTTTCATAAAAACTCACACTTCAACAGTTAATTCAATCCATCTAATGCAAACATCCTGTCAGGTGAAGACAGGTTACAAAATCTGCGACACAAACTTTATTTTCAGAAACTGAACTGAACAAATCTTTAGTTCACGTGATTCTGACAAATGCTCTTATTTTGAAGGCAACATTCAGACCACTTCCTGTCCCGAGTGTGTAAAAATATTAATGCTCCGTCCCACGGACCCGCCCCCCGGGTCCTAACGCCTCCTCCCGTCAGACTCCTCATCTGTTTGATATAAAACTGTGAAACATTTAAAGGAAATTATTTCAATATTGTGACAAAACTATTTGAACTATTTAATAAAATCGTTTGAAAACCAAAACTTTCATATTTTTATCAAAGCTTCTGTGTTTTATGAGTTTTTTTATTTAAATTTAAACAGAGATGAACAAGTTTTATTTTGGAAGATCATGAGAAAGGATCAGATGAGAGAAGATGAGAAGAAAAGATGACACGCCCCCCGGGGGCACGCCCCTTCTCTTGACAACTCACAATGAGAAACACTGAAAGTTTTTACGAGTCACGTTAAGTTTGCTAAAAGGATTTGTTTCTTTAAAAGCAGGATGATCGTCCTGTCGATCACTCAGTGAACATGTGATCACTGGTGGATGTAAGGTGAAATATGAAACAGAGCGTTCACTGAGGAACGGATGAGTTCAAATGAAAACCTCTTGGTCCAGATTCTCTTGATTCTCTTGTGATCATAAACACATTTTTATGTTTGAATGACTGAGTTTCAGTGTCCCAGAGCAGAGAGTCAGTGGTCACAGCCTTGTTGTGGGTTTTTGTGCTGATTTAACAGGTTTGACTCAGAGAAACGTTCAGTTTCTGTTTCTAGAAAATATCATTGTTGGAGGAGTCTGTATCAGCTGCTGCACTGAGCTCCTCCATCACCTCCTCCTCCTCCGCTCTGACTGAGGGCAGATGAACAGCCATCCTCCTGGTTCCTCCCTCCTCCTCGTCGTGTTCGGCTGCAGACACAAACAAACGATCCGTGACTCCACTGATGAAACTGTGAACAGATTGATTCTGAAGCACATTTCTCAGCAGCTCAGAATATGGTGAACAAACATTTAGTCACATTTCCTCTTGAGCTCAAACCATTTACTGCCCCCCCACATTATATATGTGAGTATAATTAATATCACAAACGTGACGAGTGTTGTGACAAAATGAATTCTAACAGCCTGAAGTCTGGAACGTGACGACTCTTCACCACTGACACTGTTTGCTGAGTTGCCACCATGTTGGAGCGAGTGGAACGTTTACATCTGTGTCGTATACTCACTGATCAGCTGCAGCATCGTTAAGACTCAGATCACTGTGTGTGTGTGTGTGTGTGTGTGTGTGTGTGTGTGTGTGTGTGT